AATCTTCATGATCACAAAACATTAATTTTGGAACTAAAACAGAAGAAACCCCTGCTAGCCCCCCTTCGCTTACATAGCAGATATTATTCTTTGTTTTTTATATTTTAAGAACGCTGACTTTTACTGACCAGTGGAGTACTGAGGCAGGGGTTTGATCGCCTAGCAAAAAATGAAGCAAAAAATTTTACAAAAATGATCTATCCTAACCTATCTATCTCCTGCTCTGGTTCTCACCGTTCTCTTACCAGGCTGTTACTCAAGATTCCTCCTGTTCCCTGGGAGCCTAACTTTGTAAAATGACTTTCTATCTAAAGATTGAGCAATATGAAGGAGATAGATAGAGCCCAGTTTTCATCCGGACTAGCATGAGCCCAATTTTCAGCTAGACTGGCATGCTTTCCAGTTTTATTGACTCATTGGCCAACGGCATGGAAATTCATATTTACGGACTTGTACCCTCTAGAGGGCATGAGTCGAGTTGCAAGCACTTTCAGCGAGTCCGTGGCCTAGTCACTAAAGTGTACATTTTGTTATACTTTACTTTCCCAGAAGAAAAGTAACAAGCTAAATGCAAATTAAAATGTACAAGTCATACACATAATATTGGAGAATTTAGAATTTGGTTCACCGTTCTGTGTCTTTTGCTGAGGAAAATTAGCCACGTTCCTATACATTCTGCCCTGGCAACATGCCCCTTTCCCATATCACCCCACTGCCAGCATGTTATTTGCACTGCATAGCACATGCATTTTGATTTGTTTGGCTTTGACCCTGTCCCCGTAATTCTTTCCAGAACTTCTCAGGCCTCAGTTTCATGCTGTTTGTTTTTCTGCAGCATAAAATATCGCTTTGGCGTCAAACTCTTCTCTCTTTGCAGCTGCAAATCTTTGGGGAAAAAACATAAACTAATGGCTATCAGAAGGAAAGCTTTTTCTCAAAGGAAGAAAAATGTGAGATAATATCCCCAAATAAACAACTACTTGTTTAAGTGCGTCTGCTGGAATCCTGCTGATGCATTAGTGGGGCTGTACAAATAAAACTGTATGATCACTGCATCTTCCAAAGACAAATCCGTCTTGTAGCACTTTAGAATTGTTGTGGTCACTGTAGTAAACACAGAAAATATGAAAAAAAGAGAGGATTACAGTGGTGACAATCTAAAGCAAATAAATGTCAAATGTCAATATTCATACATTTGGGAGTGGAGCATATAACAAAGATCATCAAGGACTAAAGCCCACATACAACTTTTTCCTCAGAGAGTAATAGAAAACTATTCTATCTATTGTTTCTGCTTACTCTGTCCACATTTTATGGGAAGGTGGAATGAAAGTAAAATATCCTTTTTTAACCATTCAATGATTTGAGTCAGGGATAAGCAAAGAATAAATCTTCATTCTTTTCATTCAATCTTTCTGTACTCCTCTCACATATTTTTCAAAATTACTACTGACTTCAAATCTTTAATAAATCTTTAACCTTCAGAGCAAGGGTAGGAAAACCCTGAGGGAGGTAAATAGTCGTAAAAATCTACAGTTACAAGGTTTTTGACATGATCTGAAAGTACTGTGAGTAGTTACTGTGAGTCCTGGTTACAAGCCCCTGGTTACTCAGGGGAACATGTAGTGTGCACTGCATGTAGCATGTAGTGTATGGCTTGTCCAAGGCAAAAATAGAGCAAAATATATAATGTTGGCAATAATAATATTGGCAACACTTTTGTAAATTAAATCCGCTTACACTATAGCTCCTCAAAGAAGAACTGTAGGGTTGGTTATAGAGCACACTGTTATAATATTGCTAAGTTACTCTGAATAGCAAATGAGATAAAATACTTTGATTTAGTTTTACCCTTAATTCTGTGTAGTAAAATTACCCTTTATAATATAGTTCATACTGTTCAACATGGAAACCTTACTTTTATGTCCGTTTACTCGCAACAAAAACTTGCATGTTCTCTAGTAGTACTAACGAGGGCTGTATTTCAAATACTGCATCTAGGAAAGACAAATCTGGCTGTAAAGTTCTTTTAATTTGGTAAGATAAAGGTAAAGATATAGATAGATTATGAAAACTTGTTTTATTTCAAGGACTAGATAAGACATACAAAGGGTAATCTTCCCAAGTCTCCAAAGTATTCCTGCTCATTTCCAATAGGCAAACTCCTTCTCTCACTTTTTTCCCCTGACAGATGGACAACAGGCAGCCGAAGTGGTTTATCTTGTGGCAATGACATGAATGTAATGCAAGATAAGAACTTTGTAAAATAGAGTTGGATAAAAAACATATATACGTATGACATGCAATCTGCATGTAACCTAAAATCACCCTACCACTTGCTGAATATGGGAGCTCAGACACAAGATATAGATAAAACACATTAAATTGCGAATTACAGGCATGAAAGAAAGAGGGAGAGAGAGAATGCCAGTGACAGAAATAAAGTTAGAATGAGCAGACACAATATTCCTGAGAACATAGACTGATTGCATATAGCCTTTTGCACTGGCTGTGGCCCTTGGAAAGCACTGACTTCTGAGAAGCTTCTCTAGTAACTCAGACATTATATATTTTTGGCTATGCAGTTAGAGTAAATACTAGATGTTACTGGTGTATGATAGTACCTGAGACATGTATAAAAAATAGTGGACTTTGTTGCAAACCCTTTTTCTTTTTTTTTTTCTCAATAGGTGAGGGAACAGTCTGTTATTATGCAGACACCTAAAATGACTGTTGAAGTGGTCTAGCATAGATTGCCTTTTTTGCTATGCCTTGTTGAATGTATCTTGTAACAATATATGGAACTTAGTTTGGGATTCCATGTGCCTAATTTAGGCATATACTTTACACTCTAATGTTACAGTAGAGGTAGGCAGGACACCTGCCTTTGGCTAATATCTGCATAGGGAACTTCAGGGCCTTTTTTTAGCAGCACTAGTTCACTAGCACGGTAGAGGCCTGCAAAAGAAAAGTTAAGATTAGTATGAACAGAAATGTCTGGATGTGAAAGTTCCAGAGGAGACAACCAGAAGGGCTTAAGAACAGCAGATGTTAATGGCACCTAGGGTAGCACATCATCAAAATCACAGCACAACTACCAGAAACTTGTAAAGACACTGAGATTGGGAAAACAAGGCACAGGCAGACTACACTCAGAAAAAAAAAGATAAAAGGACAGCGCAAAAGTTATGAATCTTGTATTGTAGTCACAGCTTGTTAAAAATTGTAGCAAAAGAAATTCTGACTAGATGTAAGGAAAACATTTTCAAAATGAGTATGATGAAGCCCTGGAACAGGTACTCAGAGAGGCTATGGGATCTCCATCCTTGGAGATTTAAAGAACTCAACTACATAAGGCCCTGAGCAACCTGATTTAGCTTTGAATTTAGCACTGCTTTGAGCAGGAGATTGGACTAGAGACTTGCAGATGTCCCCTTTGACCTAAATGTTTCTGTTTTTCTAACGACTCACGGAGGTGGGACAGAATGAAGAGACGAACGATCACAATCACTTTCAAATCCTAAGGGCTACAAAAGGCACGCACAAAAACCAGCACACGGCTGTCAGCAAAGAAATTCAGGAGATAGGATGAGGATTTAATAGCCAGTGTCTCTCATCCTCTGTGTCACTGCAGGGAATCCTGGCCAAACTATTTGGACACAAGTGCCTTGGCACTTGTGGGTGAGTGGGTTTGGAAGGAAGAAGTGTGAGTAAAATTAGTTTTACCTAAGTCAAGAAAATTTAATTCCTTTCCCCCTCCCATGCAGTCTCACACTGAACTTTGTCTAACAGCAGCTGGAAAGTTGCATTGTAGGTATTTGAATGCCACATTAATTATTAATGTTGTAATGGACTATTGTCCTGAAAAGATAATACAAATGGAAACTATGTTCAATTAACTGCAGATAGACTTCGATGCAGCTTAATACTGACAAGCAGGGGCAAATCCTAACTTTAGGATGCTGCCATTTTACAAGATGGATGTTTTCTCCACTATCTGTCCAAAGGCCAGATAGTGTTACAGGCTATTTCTTTCCACTGTAACATACTGCTTCCTGCTCTAACACCTTTTTGGCTCTCTAGCTAGCTAATGAAGCTGATGTGAGACCATACGTGTTGCTCTTTGGATTCCCCAGAGCAATGCACTCGAGGCTTGAAAATCAGCTTTTAGGATCAACTCTTTCCTTTCATTGTCATACAACATTGAAAATACATATTGAATTACAAAATACAAGAAAGATGAGTAACAGGAGCAAAGACAGAACATCCTTAGTCTTTCACCCTAAGGCTTCCCTCTGTGCTGAAAAAAAAAAAGGAAGAAAAGAAGAAAGGGAAAAAAACCCAGCTCTACTCCTCTTTCTGGCTCATTCACACTCTGTCCCACCTGACTGATCTGTTGTGCAAGTTGGGGGGCTACCTGGGGTATTGATCTAAGTTAAAAAGTAATCCTTCACAAAACATAACACAGAACTGGAGAACAAAATGTTCCTCTCTGTGATGTGATCAGCATGCAGGTATCAGTATGAAATGTCTCAGATATGATTTCATTTCAGTTATTAAAACATTGGACACCCAGAAAACACAGAAAACCTTTGACATGAACACATACACATGGTTAACTGAAATAGCTCCTTTCATACTCCTGACTGAGACTAGATTTGACCAGTCTGATCTACCACTTTGTACTGTGTTCAGGCTATTGTTTGGGACTAGTAAAACATAGATTGGAGGTCAAATCAGTTTGGGCAGAAGTGCAGTAAAAGTTCATCTGTAAAAAATTCTCAGCAAAAAGTAAAGGACTATTCATTTCTGCTCCTCTCCAATATTCCTTGATGATGCTGTTGATAAAAAAGGAGGAACAAAAATTAAAATGAGCATTTAAAAATTCCATAAATCTTTATTTCTGGACGGTTTTCAATTCTTCAAGAATTGTATTAGTTCTCTAATCTCTGCCTGAGTTAAAGATAAACAAGTGTTGAAAGAAAGCCAAACAGCATGGTGTCAGCTGGTACATTTCTTAGTTAAAAAGGAAACGACTGCTCAAACATCTCTGGACTCATTCATATCCACTGAACTGGGAAGTGGTAGTACATATCTCTGGAGGCAGCAAGAGCAGTGTAGAGAGGGTAAGTATGTCTGAAATTATTAGACCTGTAGACCTGTGCATTAAATGATGCTGTACTCTCCTTTTATTAACAAAAGAATAATTATATGTTGATCTCTTCCGTAAAACATTTTGAAATGTTCTACCAGAAAGAGCATCAGAGAACAAGGGGATACAACTGTCCTGGGCTTACAGGCAGACTGAACAGAACAGGGTCTCTCATTGCTGGTATGCAAGTCAGAGCATTAAATGGGCTTTTCTATATGGCTGAGGAATCATAGTTGTGAAACAACTAACTAAGCAGAGCAAAAGTATGTGGTCACTGTGGATTCACGTGGTTACTTGCAGACACAGGGCTTGGAGAAAAAGAGTTTTTGAGATGCACAGCTGGCAGGTAAGAGAATATCTGAACATTCCCCCCTCAATTTCATATACAGTAGTCATGAACAGGCTTTCCAGGCAACTCTGGTAGGCTACTTTTTCATGATTTAGTTTGGGTATATTTTTTCATGTTATGTTGATATGGCTGTAAAAAACAAGCAGTGGAATAACCTTTGTCCCAAAGTGATATAAAAGCTGAATTTTTGGCAGAACAGGCTGAGCTTCCATTAACAAGACGTGCACCGCTCTAGGTGCACTGTTGTTGCAGTTCAGTCCCCCGCCTTCCCCATTCTGCCCTACACACATATATGTGCACACACATGCACACCCTGCTGCCTCTGCAGCTTCTGGGAGTTCAACTGTTCAACAACTCTTTTATCACAGCTCTGTAAGAAAATGCAGGGATATAAAAAATAATATTTAAAAATAAGTTGTTTTAGCTGGCCATTCCAGTGATCCGCCTGAAGAGCAGGCAGGCAAACAACAGGGGGCTGTGGTGGCAGCGGTGGGCAACTGGAGGTGAGCTGGGAGCACTAGTCCCTTAACCCACACCAGCCACAGCTACCTCCGCTCAGCTAACTGCAGCCCATGCCACCTGCGCTGAGAAAGGCAAGGTAAAATGCAAGCACGGGAATCTCAGAGTCATTCCAGGTAGGAGATATGGCCGACGACATTTCTTTTCCCACAGGATTTTGGCAGTAGAACTGAACTTATGCATCACCTAAAGTAAGGATGTTTTTTGTTGTCTAATGATACTGAATAAGGGTGTTAACAGGAGAAATTAAATTGATCAAACTCATAAAATAGAGGTGTGCGTATGTGTTAAAACTTGGAGGTGCTGCATCTATGAGGAGCTCCTTAGATCAGGGCCTGCTGCAGCCTCAGCCACGGAGCGAGTCTGAGGGATGTCTGTGTGTCCTCCTATGGCCGCAACTCTGCCGGTGGCGGAGGCTCCCTGGTGGCCTGCCCTCAGCTCTGCTGGCTGAACTGCTTGCATGACCCTTTTTAACCTATTTTGGCTTCCGACTGAAGCTGGGCCACCCCTTTCCCCTCCCACATATCCATAGGCTCTGAGTCAGGAGTGCCAAGACGGAGGAAGCCCCAGCTAATGCCCATCAAATCCCACTTCAGTGATAGGAGCCCACAGGTACCCAGTGCAGCCCCAGCCCAGACCTCTGGCTGAGAGAAGGCTGTCACAGTCTTCAGAGGCAGATACAACGTGGTTTGGCTGCAAACTTGCCCCTTCCCCTTTCCTTGGGAAAGCGGGCAGTTGGTTGTGGGGGCTGCGCAGACGTTGCACTGCTTGGGGTAAACATGGGGCTTAAGTTTCATGCTTTTGGGGTGATTTCAGTACTGCCGCAAACCCTGTTAGCAGCTGCCCCCTCCCCACAGAGGGGCAGCTGCAGGATTTCCCCGGGCTGTGGGGCAATGGCCATCGCACCCCTCCTCTTGCCCCACCAACCAGAGCGCCGCATTCTTGCTTGCGTCCCACTGACAAGTCCCACGGCAGCACGCATCCCGCAGAGAGCCTCTGCCTGCACCTATTTCATTGTGCCAATACTGTCGATGATCCCCAGCTGCATCCAAGCGGGAGGTTACCTGCCTCACACCTGCCAGTTCAAGGACAGCACTGCATTTTAAACAAGAGCATTGCTAGCTCAGCATATTTTGGCTGCACGGGGTAGAGAAACGAGCGTATGTACAAGGTGGGTTCACAGACTAGGAAGGCAAAGGGGAAGCAAAGCATAATCTGGAGAGAAAGAAATGATAACAAACAGATTGAATCAGTGACCTCGTTTCCAAGTACTGCTTGTTTTGGTTAATTCAGAGCACCTGGCTGATATGTCTTGCGTAAGCAGCTGTTTCAACAAATTTGAGCAATGGTGATATCCACACAATGAAGCAATGATCAACGCTGCAGTCACAGAGAATATGGAAACCATCATCTGCACTCTGAAATAGGGGAAGGCAGGGGACAGAAACTTGAATAAAATTCCAGATTAAGAAAATCTCTTTTCAAATATACTTCAATCCAAATGAAAAAATACTTGTGATACTCAACTCTTAAAATGAACTTGCTTATGTCTTTCTGCTCAAAGACTGCAGAAGACATACAAACCCAAACCTCTTAAGGTATCATCTGCTCTATTTGTTCTTGCTAAGCTACAACAGCTTCAGTCTCCCTCTTACTTCAGCTGTATCTCCCTAGCAGTTTGCTCTTCCCTATTCATCACAATGATAATGATTAATGACTTTTTCTGGCAAATATGTGGTAACAATGTTAGTACAACACACCAGACAACAGCCTCATAAAACCAGAAGGCATGTTAAAAAAAACAAAAAACAAAACGACCCCCCTCCACATTCTTGCTTATCCATTACAACCTGTCAAAATTATTCTTGCTATGGGAGAAACATCGATAACGAGACAGAGAATAACTGGAGACTAACAATAATAAAATATTTTGAACACAATTTATTACAAAATTCAGAATGAGTGCAGGGTAGTAAGAAAATTTTACAGTCCGTCAGATCCTAAAGCAGTTTTGACAAAGATTTTGACATAGGCTGCTTTCAGTTACAGTAGTTTTTAAATGTACGTAGCATACACTTGTGTATGAGTAAAGGGTCATGCTATATACATCTTTTTTCTCATGAGAAATGTATCCTGAGTGATGTTCTTGTGATTATCTGAAAGCTACATTTCAGTGGATTGTTCTCCTGGAACTTTATTGAAATTCATTTTGCTGAAATTTGCTGGCACTGAATTTTTTACTTGAATTATTCTTTTTTTTTCCTGTGAGATGACAACAAAAGAAAAAGGTATAACTTTGTTTTCTTATTGCAGGTCATCCATTTGTAAGAGACAATAAATTAACAATGGAACCCTCAAAAGAACATGTATTCAACCACAAAGGATTTTATTTTGGTGCAAAAATAACTACACCTGAGTACGTGGATAGCCTGGAAAACTTTGAAATCAGAGACAGTGACATATTTATAGCTACTTATCCAAAATCAGGTAAGAAATAAATTATCTCCAAAGGAAAACAGCAAGCAAACAACCACAGAAGCGTCTAAGGTTGTTAGATACATCCTGCGTTGCCACGGTCTGATCAGCCACACACGGGGCTCCTGCTTGTGTCCAGCTGAACCTACCTTGTCCTTGGATCTCAGTCTTGTAGGTGCCCTCAGAGCAAGCTTACTACACACAAGGAGATCTGACCTCCCTTACCTCAAAAAACACATAGATAGTTCATAGGGCTGGGACACATGAGAGTTGGAGATGGTTGTAGGACATCTGGGGTGATTTGTGGGCTCAGATGGAAGGTGATTTGGGGAGTGTTGCATCCAAACTACAACCACGCAGGAGACCAGACCAAATGTGAGCAAATGATATATATTTCATTTCAACAATACTTACATATGTAGCAATACAGGAAACCTGAGCGATCAATTCTGCATTCCCATTTCCGAAGCAAACGCACCTGAGCAACTAACTGGCTTCACTGTGGTATTACACAAAATTGAAAGATTTTGTTCTGCCTTTACATGCCCGTACTTGTACATTTCAATATAGATTCACCTCATGCTCTAAAATTGGTCTACCCAATTCTCAAGACTCCATTTCTTTCATGATGAGTAACTGATTACTTGCGGTTTATGCTTATACTCTTGAAATCTCTGGTATCAATCTGTGCTTGTACTTTCAAGGCCTCTGCTATCCTCTTGTGTTTGTGCTCTTGGGAAGCTCTGCCAAAATCCTTTGTTTCTTTTCAATGGCCTTGAAGATGTGAGCTTTGGATAACGTAACCAGCGTTTTGCTGGCATACATTCTTGTCCTAGGGTCATTGAATAGCTTGCTGGATTTCAGTATTCACTCAGGTATTCAGTAAAATACTTGAGATGGAAAGGCATTTTGGAGAAAAAAAAGGGAAGAGGAGTCCAGAAAAAGTGGAAGGGAGCCCCAGATACGGTTGTGGTGAAGGTAGACAGGTACAAGAAGCCTGTGAAAGGGCTCGTGTGTGCCAGAGTGAGGGGACAGAGAGCCCAGGGATGCTAGCTCTACATCAGAAAGCGGGGGGGGAGTGGGTGGGTGAGCTGGCTGAATAATGCACTGGGCGGAAGAGATTTGGAGTGAAGTAAGTGTGGGGAGCTGATGCAAGCATGGTAGGATAGGTTTTGTAAAAGGGTTTTGGATGGAGAAAAGGGAGAGGGAGGACGAGAGGGAATAATTTAAGGGATAAAGACACTAACATACTGGGATGAGCACATCTGTGGAATTTCCTGTTGCAAAGTGATGGGCTACCCCAAGACAAGGAGGAGGCAGAAGATGATTTTGAGGCAGGAATTGCACAGAATATCATCTCTATCCTATTCACACCTTTTCCTTCACCACAATCCTCTTTTTTTCCCCAACAGTTATAAACCGAAAGTACCCTCTAATGCTTCTGTTGAAGCTCTGCCACTGTGCAGAAAAATTCTCCAGGTTGGCTACACCAAGCAGAGCAAGACAGTCAGCATAGCTCTGAAATCACTGGGTAGGGTACTTGGCCATTTATTCCTCCTTTGAATTTTAGGATTATTACTTTATCTCGACTGGTGACTTTAAATCTGCAATGCATGTACAGTCTAATCTCTGAAACTAGTGGCTTCCATCCCACAAGAGGTCTTTAACAACTGGACTTATTTCCGATACCTTCCTTTTTTATGCTTGTTCAGGGTAACCTACCATAATGGTTTGAATTTGCATCGATTTGAATTCTCTCAGGTGTCCATCTTTATTAGCGTATAGTATACAATGGGAAAGGAATCAGCACTACCACACAGTGTGCTTTGGAGAAGGCTAAATGGTTCTTGTACTTATTGCCTAATGGGTCAACTATTCAGGATTTACCTCCCACTATCAACACCTAACACATGAACCCATACTGTCATGATGGTTAGGCACCTACAGTCTCCTGCCTTTTTAGATCATCCTTGTCAGCAGCCGTAGCCCGGGAATCACATTTTCTCTAAGAAATTTCAGGGATCTTCTTGCCCAAAGCATCTGCTTTGTGGGACCCATCTATGCTTTACAAATATGGAGTTACCAGCTGTCGGTTTCATGACAACTCACAACACTGCAGGACTTCTGGAAGCAAAAGTCTTTTCTAGAACCCTTCAG